ATCTCTCGCCCTTAATATGCATCCTTTGGATGTAAGTCTGTGAGGAAAGGCTTCAAGCCTTAGATAAGCCTCTCTTCTGGGGGCACTTTGAGGACGCTGCCCATTTCCAGTCTGGCCCCAGCTACTTCCTGTGAGCTGGGGCTGTATGTGCCCTCTGATTGACGCTTCTTTCGTGCTGTCATGATGAGAAAAAACACCACCAGGATGGCCAGTAAGACACATAGAGTGGTCAAAGGGATGGCCACTGCCAACCATGGAACTCGCTCTGTTTGTTCCTCTTTCTGCAAGAGAACAGCACAGACCAGCTTAGTTTGAAGTGTGGATGAAGACTGAAGCACAGTTTCAAGCACTGCTCTGGAGGTTTAATCACATTTTCTCTTGTAGCTAAAGGAAACCCGACTCAAATAAAGGCATTTTTACCCATTGAGCAGAACTAAGCACATTAACTTACAACTAGTTTTGGTGAATGGAGCTGTGTGTCACTTACATCGCTATCGCAAAGCGTGCCGGTGTATCCTGACACACACACACACTGGAAGTGGTTGAGTCTGTCCAGACAGGTGGCACCGTTGAGACAAGGGCTGGACTCACACTCATCTATTTCTGTCTCACACCTGAAACACATCAGCAGGTTTTAGCACAATACTGACTGACAGAGCAGCAGCTCACATGTGCACTTCTGACCTTTCTACTTAGATGTGCTTCACATGTACTTTTAAAAGTGGAGGAGGAGTGTGTGCAGTGTCGTGCTCTTACCTGTCTCCAGCATATCCTGGCTTGCAGGTACAGTTGCCCCCAGAGTCACCTCCAATACAAACTCCTCCGTTTAGACACTCAGTGTTCGCATTGCATGCCACAGGAGGAAAACGCCATCTATTAGACACACAAACACATTTTCTCAAGGAGGCTTTCGACAGCAGAGCTTCAGCTAATGATTATTTTTAGTAGCTGAAGCTCATCAGCTCTTCCGGTTATTGGATATTTTGTTCCGTAAAACACAGGACTGGAAAAACAGACTGGAAAAACACGTCTTTCAGAAGCTGGAACCATCAAATGTTTGGCATTTCTGTTTGTTTCAGATGACACTGGCAGATTATTCATGTTGATCACCTAGTTTACTAATTTTTATAGAGTGTTTAAGTGCTATTCTAGTAAAAAATAATAGTTTTCAGGGCACATGTATATTGAAAAAAGGATAAAACACAACGTTAAATGGTAAGTGTTACCTGAAGCAAGCTTCAGTTATAACATGAGGCCAAATTTATGCAGCAAAGAGAAAAAAATCACACAGCTGTGGGTGAAAATGAAGAATAGCTGTAAAGAGAAGCAACTTCTTGACAGTTGACAGAGAAAGTCCAGGCGCAACAAGGAGTGTAAACGATGGTCAGCAGGGCCGAGCACTGACACTGATGGTAGCTAATTCTAGCTTGTGTGCTAATGCAAACTGGTAGATAACAGATGTAGTAATGTACTGAATGGCTAATGAAAGCTGATTCATCAAAACATGTTGGGTTTATCTTGCTTGCCTTTACTTGACAGGTGCTTTAGACAGTAAGTTTCTAAAAAAAGAAACAATGCCCGTTTTGTGCTATTTAAAGTACAGCGAGCTAGCTGCTTTACTAGCTTATTTTCAGACATGAAATATTGGTTCATACATTAGACCAGCGGTTCCCAAAGTGGGGGGCGCAGAGCATTTGTAGGGGGGGCAAAGTATGACTAAAAAAAAAGACTGCTTGGACAATGCTAGCATAATGGACACGTTATTGACGGGGCTCCCACACAAACACAAGATTTTCTTGTAAAACAAAG